ATGATACGAACGTAGTCAACATCCTCTTACCTTGACTTCTTAGTACGTGACTGAATGTTATTCACTTTTTCAACTTACATTTATTACATCTTAACAGAATCCTTGGATTGTAATTTATTTGGTGGCTAGCAGTGGAATACATAACGCGTGTTTCGTCCCCTTTAGGACTTATCAGGTGTATGTACTCTCACCCCACTGGCTGATTGTACATCCACTGAGACTCAAAGCTAAAACTCCGCTTCAAATGCCAAAGTGTAATCCACCAGGCCACTGGAGCATGAAAACCACCTTTTATTTAAACAATATCAATTTCTGTTTGTTGATGCTTTTCATTTCCCGTTGCTATACTGCATGGAACAACAGAGGATACTCCTCGCACGAGATCGGACGCTCACGCCTCACTGCCCTGGGGAATAATACTCTGATGACTGGAGTAGTCGTACTGGGTTTGCCTCTCAGGGACTATAACACTACTCACTGACAACTGCCAAACAGGAAGAAACGTGCGTCTTGAATTCCGAAACTAGCCATCAAGTCAACTATAACAATGAATCTTTGGGTAGCATTGTGGCATGCACATAGGGGGTCACCTGCCAACAGAAGTATCAGTAAACAAGAACCCTTAGACTATTTGCTGATATTTAGTAAATTTGTTCTTGCTAGTTGGTTGGAGGCAATCAGCAGGAAGCCTTGAACCCCGGTTTCTTGCCTGTTGGCTGTCGTCAACAACGCTCGTCTGCAACCTCTAAGGGACTGATGTTCCCTGTAGGATTCGAACCCTCGTCGTCCAGTGCTGCAGTCAGCGACGTTACCAGTGAGCTACACAGGCCACGACTAGCCTTCTACAGGACTGAATTGCATACACTGAATGGTCACTGGAAAGCAACCAATTTCATGGTGTCTACTCCAGCAGCAATTGTTACTTCAGCACGAAACCTAGCTCCACGGCTTTCTGTAGATTGTCTTCAACCAACTATTAACCATCAAAGTCCACCGCGATGGTATGCCTTCTAGTTTGGTGGCCACATTGCAAAGCGATCGACAGAATTCGGTCTGTACTCAGGACTAAACAACATGAGATTGGTTGTTACACAGTGACCAGTGAGTTTAGACTTATCAATGTTTACTGTAGAATAACTTCAGTCAACAAATCAATAAAATATGGGAACGGCTGGAGAAGGTTACACAATTTTGCATGTCTAACAAGAGTTGATGACTTTCCTGTGAATATGTTACCGTCCATGATAATCATCTAATCCCAACGAAGGAGACCAGTCGTGTTTTCAACCTGTATGATACCAATATCATGACCTTCAATTACAACAAATTAATCTTCCATAATACCAGGAATTGAGTTAGGCTGAAAAGTTCTGTGTAGTGAGCATCAAGCCATATGTTGTTAATTAACTTGCTTATCCCTGAACTTCATCATCGTTTGAAATCAATGGCGTACACTAGTGAAGATTAAAACACTTTTCCAGTGACAATTCTTCATAAATCGCTTTCTATAAGATACGAATTCGTTACGACGACGCGAAAAATAACCAACTACGCACAGATCAGTATATGACATCTTGGATGTTGTACTAAATATTAAAGTATTACTCACTGAAATTCGACATATTATAGATAGTAGGCTTAACTTCTGCTCAAGGATACTGATCATCATACAACTGATAACACAGTTTTACAAGGTTTGGAAAGTCTAGTCTATTTCTTTAACTAAAGATACGCCTTAGTGTCAGTAAAAGAAGTTCTCAATTTCTTCTTCTTTGCTGATATTGAATGAAGAATGAACATTAAGTGTCTATCTAAAGTCTTCCCTGCCTCAATCCTTAGATAACTGTCAATATGGCAGTATAAAATCGACTACTTTAATAACAAGAATAACCTCCGTCCATTGATTAGTCGAAGATACGTACATGATGACCTACCGACGTGAAACCATGAAAGAGACGATAGGTATTTTCTAAGTTTGTACTCAAAGTTGCAAATGGTGATAAGCTTGTAAAATGATCTTGAACGCAGGCGAAACTTCCTACCAATTTCTGATGTTTAACAATCAGATTTGGGAATAGTTTCATTGAAATTCGCTAATAAAACTAGAACGATCATATCATTGATTGATGTTTCAAAGCAATACGTAGAGGATTATCAGTTATCGAAATAATTGAAACGAAACAATAGTTAGTCATAACACTGATCAGGTTTTAATCTTAGTGTAAGATATTATGGATAGATAGCGGCTATCAGTGAAATCCAGGACTGATGTTTCGTTCTACTTGAGACCTATCAGCTGGATATACTTATGCATCTCACACAGGAGCTCACATGTCAACACAGTTCGATCAATCCACTCTAAACCAATCAAAAAAGAGAAATAAAAAGTTACATTACGACACGAGATATGTTAACGTGACACATATCCCGATACACTGAATTTGATACTATAGCTCTGGTGCAATTCATATTATCATATGAATAAAAAAGGATTCTTTTAGTGATATTTTGTCTTATTTTGTACTCGTCAGCTGGATGTACCTGCAACCCAGTGAGTGATGTTGTTCCCACTAAGGCTCGAATACGTAACAGTGTTTATTCTGAGTGATATTCTATCTTATAAGTAGGAATCTAAAGGCATCCATTTATACCTCCAGTTGACAGTGAAAATACTCTCTTCCTGGCTTGGGATTACCCATGTTCTTTACCTAGTAAGTAGTGAAAACATCATGGCATGTTCGAATCACCCGAAATGCCTAACAGTTTATAGACTGGTGTAAGTCTCCATTATTGTGATATTATTTTATTTTCAAATTACGAGAAAATTAAACTAGTTTCTTTTCTTAATTAGTGGTTTGGTATTTGGTATCAATAGGCTTTATCATATTTGGACAAACCTGATATAGACAAAATTATACTCGACTGAATTCTATCTGAATACTGATAGATTGATGACATTAATTGACTAAATCCTATCAAGAAGTTGAACTTGTTGACTTTCACCTCTTTTCTTCATAATACAAACTCTTCGTGCAGTTACCTAGTGAACTATTCATGTTAGAATAGGCAGTACAACAGAGAACACCTGATAACTTATACAGCTACTGACATTCAAGATGACATCATCAGAGGAACTAGAGATCATGAATTAAACTGAATGATAATACTGTATATTGGGGGCTGATGGTAACACTAAGTGGCTCCTAAATATAAACTGAATCAGATAGCCTGAATAGAAATTTGGATAAAATAAAGATTTTTAAACTAGCAAAAATAGAGACAGTTATTTAGTTTTCAGTTTCTTGAACCGACTGACAAGAATAATATTACTTTCATCAAATCCCCTAATTATTCAATTATACTTGTAGTTTCTCGTTACTGTACATGTCCAAATAGCTCGACATATGTTAGAAGATAGGCTTCTATGCGAACGCTTGGATACTCATTTTATTATAGTCTGCTTGGTGTTCTGCAATGGAATCCAGCATGCACATTTCGCTTATTTGAGAGTCATCAGCTGGATATAAATGCGCCCTAGTAAGTGATATTATTTCAACTGACACTCGAACTCGGAACCCGTCACTTTAAACATCAAAACGCTATCCAACAGTGGCCGAGCAGTTCTACCGTTGACAGCAAAGCGAAATTGAAAGTATTAACAATCACCAAGTGAACCGTCACACAAAAGGTGTTTCTCGTGCCCAGTTAGATTATTGAATAACACTTCGGTGTCTGTAGCGGTGAGTGTTGCTTACGAGTCTTATTTAGAACAACATCACTCCTCGAGATGTAGTCATATCCGGCTGATAAGTCCCAAATAGGACGAAATGCATGTCCTAGATTCCACTGCTAGCCTCAACCAAGTCTATTATAACAGTAAATATCCAGGCAATATCAAGGCCTCTACATACAAGCCCATATCCCAACACCAATTCTACCAGTATGGCGAAGGTGATGATGACGACTTATGGCAGTTAAAAAACTGCTGACCAGATTTTTATTTTACTTCACCCAATCACCAAGGTTTTGCCCGACCACCATGTGGATTTGTAACGCGTTGCTACCGCTTGAACGTATTCACACTCGCCGCTTAGTCAGGACTTCTCTTCCCAATCCTAATCTTACTGAGTCAGAGACGAGGAGCATCACATTGATTATCATTTTGACTATCTGAGATAGTTATGGCTTGGCAGACTAGTATTGATACTAGGCGATGATACCAAATCGATGGATACCAGTATGAAGTGAAATAAAAATCTGGTCTTGTAACTCAGTTAGTAGAGCACCGAGTCGGTAACCCAGTGATCTCTGGTTAGAGATCCGGTAGAGCTCCAAACCTTCATTTCACTTTTAATCATCACTAAGTAAAAAATACTAGTCTACCAAACCATTGCTAACTCAGTCAAAATGATAATTTTATGATCCTAATGAATTTTCACTTAGAGACTAATCCTATTGGCTGGTAAATTTCCTATAGGGAGATAAGCACAAATTCCTATAAATTTCACACTGTTTAGTGGGAATAAACCAATCAAAGTATTATGCACAGTAACACTATATTTCCCTTTCATTATTCACCAGCACTTCAGGGTAATTCACAGCTAATATTGATATGATTGTATGTATTATTTTGCACACCAAAAAATACACTAGTGCCCACCCACGTATGTTATGCTTTCCTTTCAAACCAATCATAATCATCTTTTGCACATAGTCTATTAGGCAGGGATTAGTTTCTTCAACTTTTCAGGGGTAGATAGAATGAATTGGTATGAATAAAGAAACGAAATGACACGATTTTTATCTGTATCAAAATAACCCTAATTATGACTTTCTTCAATATTCTTCTTGAAAACTGCATCAATACATTGACGGATTTTTTGAATAGATGCATAATAAACAAGAAAACTTATTATCTGGGTCATATCAAGCATATAAATCCCAACTAACACTTACACTATATGTTACGATCGAGTTTTATGACACTGACAACCTCTTATATGCAGACTGTTTGTCAATGTTCAACGAATCAGTGTAATTGTTTGAACATTCCATCTTCACGATTTAATCCATTGAATTTCTTATCATCAAACATCATGAATAGCAACGATATTAGAAACTATTACAGTAATCACTATCCATATCATGAGAAGTTATATCAATTACAGTTGAAATCATCTAGTCATTTAGATACTGGTAATACTATGGGTAATAATAATAATAGTAGTATTGATGGTGGGAATATTAGTAGTCATAGTAATAGCAATAGTGGTAGCAGCAGCAGTTGCGCCTATTCACCTCACACTAAAGTACCTAAAAATAACCTGCATAATCCTAATCATTCTGTTGTTTCTAGTGAAGATTTATTGTCGGCAACACGTCGAATATTTCAACTTGACAAATCTTATGATATTGACAGTATTCATTCAAAATATGGAGTATATGACAACCACCAGCATCAGTCTACAGTTGAAAGAGAAAAGGAGGTGTTTTTCCAGCATTCAAGCGGTTACCAAAGTTACAATGGTGATAAATCAGTCCATGAATTATCATTATCACCTACATTATTGTCCCATGCTAAAATTAACCCACTACACTTACTTATATCCTCACCGACAACATCACCTACCTCTTCAATACCAATTCAATCAGATTCAAATGTTAACTTGCTGAAAGTATTGAATCGTGAATTCATTCCATGGTATAATGATTATACGAATACCGCTACCAATACCTGTAACAGTGTTATGAGTAATACTCAATCAAAAGAAATCAATAAATATGATTGTCAAATCCCTAATCATTTAAATCAAAAGTCTAATTGCTATCCAAATATGCTTACAATGAATGATTATTTTAATATGCACGAATATAATTATCAAAGCATACTTCAACTATATCACACAAACAACAATATTCTTTAGCAAATGAATTCCTCATGAATAAATTAAAAGTGAACAATAGTCATGCAAATACAATATTAATGAATCATTGTACTAGTATGACAACAGATCGTTTGAATTATCTAGACTCAGCTTCAGAGAGATTACGAAAATTTTGGTCTTTGAATGATGCCTCTAATCAACCTACAGAAATAGGTAAGCAGTAAAAAATTCAACTTCATGTTTTCTTGTTATTTAACATTGTCTTGGTGTTTTGTCAAAGTTATAAGAACACCAGGTCATTGTCATTTGTATCCTGACCTGAAAATCTTCTCCAGTATTCAATAGCTCATTAACGAAATACTCTCAGTAATTCAATTTGCTTAGCTGGAAGATCATCATTTATCTAGATGTTATAAAATCGAACTGATGTGTCCACAACAAAACGAAATTTACTTTCTGTATACCATTACTGATCACTGAAAAACAGTATTCATCACAGACTAAAGTCATCTAGCGAACTACAGAAAACCTGAAAGCACTGGACAGCTGCTTAGTTGTAGTGTCGAACACCTGGGAAATAGAACTAAGGACCTCCAAGCTTTTGAGAGCACCTAGGTCTGAATCCTGTGATTCTTATTTTTCTACCTAATTCATGGTACAACACGACTATTCACCAGGTTCTCCAGTTGATATCAGATTTACTACGATATTTTACGGTATCATGAGTGCATACTGTTTCTAAAATCTACATAAACCCAAAATAAGCGAATATATTAGCATCACTAAAAGCAATAATCAAATTTTAAAGTACATACTCCAAAGTAGCTTTAAATTTATCAAGGTTAATAATGGCTAAAGACATCCTAATGTAGTGTAGTGTAGTGCAGTGCAGTAGATCTGCACACTGATTATTTCAGGTTAATGAAGGAAGGCCTGCCTGTCTTACTGTGTTTCTGATGCTGGCTGGCTTTGACGTCATCATATGTGCGTTTTCTGCCTGTGGTTGAGGCGATGCTGCCTAGGTAGGTAGGTGAGAGACTACTTCCTTTAGATTTCAGCTGTTGATGGTGATTGGTGCTTGTTGTTGTTGGTAGTGGTGGTGGTGGTGGTGGTGGTGGTGGTGGTGGTGGTGGTGGTGGTGGTGGTGGTGGTGGTGGTGGTGGTGGTGGTTGAGCATCTTCGTCACCTATGTCTTTTCTATGTTCACTTCATTATGGTTTGATCATATCTTCATTAATATCAGTAATGTCAACCACATATAAATACTGCTAAAAAATTTCAACTGTTGGTGATATCATGTACAGTAGTTTTGGTCGAAATATTGCCAAAATGAAAAACTTATCATCATATATAAACTTTGCATGAAAAATATTTACTCATAGTATATCATACAGACGCTTTAAGCAGTTTTGAAATCATCACTGATTACTTCATATCTAAAAACATGAAAGTACTAGATTTTGAAATATCTTTGACCAAATGAAGTCTTACCATCAGTGCAGGTAATTTACAACAGCTAAGATCATTCACTGGTGGTTAAAAGATGGCCTGTTTATAAAAAAAAAAGTAGCATTTATTCAACTTTGATAAATAAAGTAAATATATGACGACAGTGCATATTAATGATTACCGTACAGTGTCTATTGAAATAAACTTTGTAAGATGAAAGAGCGATGGTAATAGTTCTACAAACCATCACAGCTAAAATTGCATAAATCCTATAAGTTCAAACCAAATAACTCCATATCCATTTAAAATGACGTTATATATGTTTCTAAACTTCATAGGTTATGCAACCCTTCATACCTCTAAGATGAGAGGTGTGAAAATTCTTAAAAGAATATTCTTGTAACAGCTTATTAAAGTACCATTTTGTTGGTACTTGTAATTCCTCATCGCACAAGATGTCTTCCTTTTGCATGAATGGCTTAGTGGATAAAGCTTTGGCGCTTGAACGCAATGAGTACTTGGTTTTACTTTCATTGGGAACAACACTCACTGGGATCAAGGTAAATTCGGTTGATGAGTCACGAAAAGGACCAAACGCACATCCTGGATTCTATCAAGAAGACAACAAAGAAATTCAAATGTTTATGAATGTTGAAATGTGACCAAAAAGTAAAATAGAAAAGCAAAATTAAATCGTTATGTTATTGATGGGTAGTGCCTAGCAGTGGAATCCAAGGCGCACATTCCGCCCTACTCCGGGCTTGTCAGCTGGATGTACAAATAAAAACATCAAAAGTATACTTGTCGCACAAGAAGTGCCTATCGTAACTCAGTGGCATAATGGATTGCTCCCAATTTCGAGTCCTAATGGAAACAACATCACTCACTGGGAACCACCAGGTAAGTCCACCTGACTAGTCCCAAATACGACAAAGTACACCTCCAACTACATTCCACTACCGACCATTATCCATTATTAATACATCGTCGAAACACAGTCAGCATCAAGACATTCGCACACGAGCCCATATGCCAATACAGACCTATCAATTCGATCCAATCAATGATGGAATAACACAACACAAGCAATAACATTAAATCGTTATAACCCTACTTAAAAAGGTAGGGTTGCTTAGATTAGTGAGTATTACTCAAGAAATCGTAGAATAACGAGTTGAGTAATATGACAAAAATGTGACAAAACCAATGAATTGTTATTTGGGTGATTATGGAAACGAGGACTAGTTGATAATATGCAAACAGTGAAGGGAATGAATGAAAGAGGTGAAGGTTGACTAATTCTCTTTTATATGAAAAGTTTCATCTTTTCTATTTGAATTGTTAAAGTATTCGGAATGGAAAGGGGGCAGTGACTTTGTCAAGTTTTTCTCCTCCTTGTCAATAACTTGAAAAGATGAGATGTCTTTTGAGATTGAATTAGCAGTGCCGACACGGCGTTATATTATCGCACTTCTAATAAATCCTCTGTTACCTCTTCGTAACCACGCAAAATAGTGTTCTTGACCTCACTTGTCTTCATTTTCTTATATGTCTTTATTGAGTAATTTTATTTAGCCTACACTGCGTACTAAATAGGAAGAAAACTGTAGTCCAATAGTCAGTTCCTTTACCTTATTTCCATATAGAGAAAGAAACAACCATCACCTGAAAAGTCAGTTCAGCTAACTAATGTTATCTATTCTGAATAATTTGATCCAAGGATAGCCGCACATTTGACAAATATGACACATATTCAAAGTATCATAAAGCGGCTTTTTAATGAAGATTTCTACTAGGTTGCTCAAATTGTCGATCTTCATACAACCCCATAATAATTTGAGAGAGTGAACACAGTCACTTTTGCCGGTGATTCTACGAAAAAGTTGAGCAAGATTGAGGATATCAGTAGGCAATATCAAGAAACAGCAACTGATGCCAGTTCCATCAGAGGTGGCTCTTGTGCCTCAGGGATGTAGTGGGTAACGCTATGACATTTGAATTGATGTGTACTGCATTCGATTCCAAGTAGAAACTTCATGAATCACTGGGGTCCAGGTGCATCTAGCTACCGAGTGCCAAATAGATCGAAACACGCGACCTAGATTCCGCTGCTAGTTACCACCAGGGAAACTGCAACATAATGAATATTCAGGTAGTATCGAGACATCCGCATAGGAGCCAATCTGCCAACAAAGGTAGAGCAATTCCACCCAGTATATCAACGGGAAGTTACAAGTATCATTAAACAAAGATTATTTTCACTATTTCCAACAGGAGTAAGTAAGAGGGACAGAGAATTTAGACAGATCTATAATTTTTGTCCAAAAATTCAATGGAACAAAATTTCATGAAAAAAACCCTTTCAGAATGTATCGAATCGATGAGCCTTAGCATCGAATTCCATACCACTATCAGATTGTTTTAATGTCACTTAATTGTGATTATTTTATCATTATTATTTGCCGTTTAGGTTCCTAGTAGAACATAAAGCTTCAGTAGCACGTCACCATTTCATTCTCCTCTTCTCTACAGTCTTTTCAACCTAACTCCATCACTCCCAATAACCTTTCATTTCTTCCTCACACCATCCCATCCATGTCACCCTCAAACCACCAACTCATCGTTTCCCATCTGGCTTCCACTCGACGACTTGGTCTGGCCTAACGCGTGATGTCCCCAAACCGTCTTCTCAGTGTATATCTAATCCAACCCATCTCCATTTCCTTCTGCATATTTATTGGGCGATGCGTTCTTGCTTCGTTGTTTGGTTCGTTGTCAGCCAGCCACAGTTCCTCCTTGCTTATTCTTATGATTCTCGCCACTCATCTCATCTCCATCTTCACTATCGAGTGAGCATAGGCGGTAGCTGTCCATGCATGATGTATCTCTGCAGTTTGTTGGAAATGCTTTTCGTAACACACCAAGTCTCTCAGCCATCATACAGAAGCACTGATTTGCTTGACTGAATTAGTGTTGAGAATCCGGATGTTGTTCACGCTTTATGCTGAGTATAGTGCAGTGTAGTGTAGTACAGTGTAGTAGGGTGGAATGGAGTGGAGTGCAGTAGATCTGCACACTGATTATTTCAGGTTAATAAAGGAAGGCCTGCCTGTCTTACTGTGTTTCTGATGCTGGCTGGCTTTGACATCGTCATGTGTGCGTTTGCCGCCTGTGGTTGAGGCGATGCTGCCTAGGTAGATAGGTGAGAGATTACTTCCTTTAGATTTCAGCTGTTGATGGTGATTGGTGCTTGTTGTTGTTGGTAGTGGTGGTGATGTTTGGCATTATTGTTGTTGAACTTTAGAGGAAGCTCGATCAGCTAAACAAAACAATAAACATGCTACCTATGTGGCCTTACAGTTAGACAGTTTCTTCCCTGAAACACACACACACAATTATGTTAGATCCAACTGTAAAAATTCATCTTCATTTTCTATCGAAAGACGAAATATTCAAACCACATCATATTATCTGCTTGACAATGAAAATCGCGTAAATACTGCAAACTTGAGAGTTGTTAGGGATATATTGCTGTGTGGCATTTATAGTCACAGAATGATCATATTTTCCGTACTGCATCAATCTGACTGTTTGATTGAAATAAAACTAATATCTGATCAGCAGCTGAGTATCATTGCTCAGCCGGTAGTTCCAATCCTTCCGGCATTTAGATTTTCATTCCAGCTTCAATCATCCCCCAGAGGTCTGTTAAACCATAACTTTTTCAGTTCCGCTGATAGTCTGACTGCGTTGTTGATGAGCTTAGCTTCAAAAACACCAAACCAACTATACTACGTTCTGATAACTTCGAACTACTGATTAGTCTAAGTCTATACATACGGATAAGTAGCAAATTCCATGGAATATGCTCTTTTCAATCAAGGTAATTACTGGATACAATTATCTATGAAGGAAATCAGTGGTAGAATTGTGTCTCACGAGACTGTCTTTAATCCATAGCAAACTTGTAGTAAATTGTTTCACCATATCGTGTAATTCTGCTCAGGCTTTGTGCTGAGAGTGATTATCTTCTGAAGCACTGATATTTTCACATGTTATCCTATCACCACAATAAGTTTTTTCCAAAACTTACAAAAAATCATAAAATACAATAATTAGAATGTCATCTATTGTAGTGGGCGTCGCTGATAAGAATGAATATAAGTAGTATATGTTGAGAGGGTGGCAGAAATAATAGAAAATTACCAGCAATGGGTAATGATTTTGCTAAGAGCAATGCAAGGGATAACGCAGGCGTACTACAGTGAATGTTGGTGATAAGAATGTATGAAGACCAAATCAAGAGGGAAGCAGTAGAGGAAACGAAGCACATTTTGCAAATGACGAGTATAGTGCAAGGTCTACCATATGTATTGACTACCGTCTCAACTGTTCACGAGTGGGAGTCATTTTGACGTACCTGTTGTCAAGCTGATTCACTATGGCACGTATCAATGGTTGTACGGTGAAGTGCGTCGATAGAATCTTTGTCAAGATCTTGAATGGAGTGAACAGTTTGGGTCCTGAACAGTTCGTTAGTGAATAATTGTATTAGTTTTAGACCTCCGAAACGCCCTTCTGTCTTGAATGATGTTCTCAATGGTGAAACTTAAATGAAAACTGCTTTTAGAGCCAAATCTAACCTTGGTAGATTAACACTATTTATTAGGTAGTATTTACCACGGACTGACATCGGTTACAGAACTACTGGAAACCTGGGAGCACAGGATAGCTGTTTCGTCCTAATATGAGACTTCTCAGCAGTATGCACCCACAACCCCATGAAGGATCAAGCTTAGGGCCATGGAGTCTCTCTCATGCCGAAAGCTTTGACGATTCAGCCATTGGTACTGATTTTGATCTCTGATAGGGTCCTGGCGGAGTACTGCTGAGGAGTTCCATACTTGGAAGAAACAACTCTCCAGTGCTGACAGGTTTTCCCTGATTCTCCAACTGATGTCATTCCATAATATATACTACTTCGAGATAAATAAAATCCACATAAAACTCAAACTTCATTACTAAAATGACTATATACAACAAGTTCTTGTTTACTTCTCAATTTTTAATTTTCTTCCAGAAAGTCAATGGAGCAAATCTTCATCTTCCCCAACCACTGGAACAGTTGTAACAACAATGCCAGCAACAATAATTCCGTCAGCCGTGGAGTCCTGTAGAACACCAGTTCTGCCGCAGTGGGAACAGTCAACTTTGAATACTAACTATAATAGCAGTAATAATAATAGTAATAACAGGAAACTCACTTGTAGTCAGGCTCGTAAGCGTTCGCAGACAACAGAAGCAAAAACGTTTGGTATTAATGATTCCATAGCTGAAACAGTAGTAATAAATCCTAAAAAGTGTAAATATACTACTAATAATATCAATTATCTAGGTAACTTTTCTCACGATAAATATGCAGCTTATCATTACTATGACAGTGATACTGTTGATAATCGATTTAAACAAACATCTGTTGAACATATTACTTTGAACAAAGAAGAAAGTATCAGTAAAGCAGAACTTATTTATCAAAAAAAATGTTACATGTAGGTTTAAACATAAGTGTAGATAGTGTTCATTCTGATGCTGGTAAAGCTGATGATTGTTACGTTGAAGAAGAAGATGAAGATGAAGAAGAAGATAAAGATAAACATAATTCACTGACAAACAGAAAAGATTCATCATGTGAATTTCATAACAATACAAATACCAATAAACCCCGAAAAGAGCGTACTGCATTTACAAAACAACAAATATGTGAATTAGAGAAAGAATTTACAATTCATAGTTATTTGACTAGACTAAGAAGATATGAAATTGCTGTGGCGTTAAATTTAACTGAAAGACAAGTAAGTTACGATTGCAATCTGTAATACATTCTAATTCCACTTACTAAATGAATATATTTTTTTGATTTTATAAGTCTGTATCGTCGATTGGAGCGAATTGATCAGCTTCTATGATGCCTCAATATTGTCGGGATTTTCAGTTTGCATATTCATGACATAAAAATCACAGTATACCCTTTTCAAAATGAGTGGCTGGTGTGAATCAGTGGTCTAGTAGATAAAGTCCTGGTGCTTAGAGCGATTGGTTTAGGGCTCCAGTCTGAGTAGGAACAATTTCGATCACTGGGCGGTGGATATATCCAGCTGATGGGTCCCAAATAGAACAAAGCGCATGTACTGAGTTTCACTACTAGCCGTAATTAGATTGAAAAGATCCTAACCATCAAAATTTCCATTTTAAGTTATTTAACTAAACTCATTTCGTATTAGGTAGTTTCTTCTGTATTCGGGAACATTAACTCAGTTGATCACGCTGTCTATGCCTTAAAGTTTCTCGCATACAAATGAAGTAAATCAAGTGAATGTAAACACGAAGACAATAATGTTGTATTTTGTTTGTTGTTGGGTTCAGAAATAAGGTCACTGTCAACCTTATCGATCAGCATTACTACTACATCAGTTTATGTATACTTTATATCAACGGATGCAGTTTGTTATATATGTTAGATGGTTTCCAACGGTAAACCTCTTCACATGGAGACAGTTGTATGCCAGTTTCGGTTCAGTCCTCAGTTCCAGGTCGTATCTTGCATTCGTGGACGTCAGTATCCAAGATCCCAGGGATCATTCCCCTCCTGCAAAAGCACTCTGTTAACGCTCCCTTAAAATTGATCAGTGCAATGCTCAAATCCACTAAGATGTTGGCCTTCAACGTCTCAACATTAGCCAAATAGTCGGATCACTTGATTGTACTCACTTCCCTGTGGGCATACCTACCTGGGATGCATCTAACTGAAGTCTCTACAATCGTGCAGAAGAGATGTAGCTCACCCTTCCGGAAGATTAGCTCCCTCTCGCCAAAATTTCACAAACGGAAGCTGCTCTCAGGCTGTATTTAGGGTCAAGGCTAGGGCTAATGACACTCGGCATTCCAAAATGAGTCCCGCCTACCTTCGTAAAGTTAACCACACAACTTCTATTGAGATTGCCTTAACAACAGTGACCACTGGAATTAAGAAGCTGGTTTCCCTTACCTTTTGGTTGCACTGCTCCCAGCACACTGGGGTGGATCCTGGCAGTTGACTAGGTCATCTGTGCTTTGGAGACTTGTGCTGATGATCTGCACATAGAGATCTGGTCAACCATACTTACCCCCAATCCAACTTTGATGATGGACTGATTGATATCCAGCGGAGCCACAAGGAGATTCACCATCGTTGCATAAATAGGCCGGGCCAGAAATAAATGGTGCACGCACCATCGCCAGTTTTACTAGCCAGCAGCGCAAAGACCCATAAGACTTAGCCACGCTGTGGTAAACTTCTTCATGTTGATGGCTTCACACTATGGCGATGCATGTAACTACCATGGAGAGTCATAGTTACTTTTAAAAAACACCACACCCACGAACCCACCAGCGCACTGCTGAGCTATCCAGTGCTCCTAGGTTTCAAGTGTTCTTCCAATTCATGTCAGTCCACGGTGAATATCAACTAGAAAAATTACACAGTTATGAATACTGTCGAAATGGACTCTCCGCCTCATAAATCACTTTCACGTTTTACCCAATCTGAGACTAAACTGGATTCAATTAATTACACAGTTGATGCTCTGTATACCAAAGGACATGACTGTATAGTGCTATGATAATTATTATTTTTACTGAAAAAAATGAAGTTCATAAATTTTAACTGTTCAAAACATTAGAGTCTATTTCTCGATGTGCTTTGACTGAAAACAAATCAACCCATGCAACGACTCCGTAACCAAGACAATTCACCTCCAAGATCCTGTTTCTACGCCGTAGTCGTTATGTAGGTTTTTAATTTCCAAAGAGCAGTGTCGGCTGTTAGTATATCACTGTTATCTGAAAAAAATGTTTTAAAAATAGACGCAAGCTTCAACCATTTCAGGAGAAGTTTACTACTTTTCTAACGCCTCTTTGTTTATGCTAGTTCGAGACCAATACCTTTAAGCCATGACAGATTCTAAGAATGGAGCGATTCATTATCACAACTACTGGGGATTTAAGTATACCTAATGGCTACCATTAGTATCCCGTGCTGGCATTTCGTGCTACTTGGCACTTGTCAGCCGCATGTGCCTGCACCCCAGTGAGTGATGTTGTTCCCACCAAGACTCAAACGTAGTACTCATGGCTTCAAACGCCAAAGGGTTATCCTCTAGGACGGTGAAGTGTATCCCGGATTCCACTGTTAGCCATTACCAAGTAAGCTATAACAACGATATATTCAGGCAATAGAGGTCGAGCAATTCGACCAGGTGTAATAACTGCAAATTACAATTACCAGTAAACAATTACTTCAATTAAGTCTTAGTATGTAGGTTGAAATCTATCGAACAAGTGCTCATCTTTGCTCCCGATTTGATTAACTTCATGAAACTAGTTCCGCCTTTAAATATTTTAAGGGGACTGATTAGTTTCTCAAGATTGATGAGTATGTAACACTGCTTGAGGTAAGCAATCGAACAAGCAACCAAGAGAGTGACATTGTATCCAGTATCAACAAAACTCAACCATTCACAAACCCCATAAGTACGTCACTAGGTAAAACTGATTTATTACAAGAACAATTTCTAAACGTATTTTGCCTTGTAGGCGTGTGTACTCAGTGGCTGAATGGTAACATCCTGGCCTCAGGACCTGAAAGTCCTCGGTTAGATCCCTGGCGGGGTTATGGGTGCACACTACTGGAGGGTCCTATACTAGGACGAAACAACTAGCCTATGCTACCAGGTTTCCAATGGTCCACGATATGATGTTGGTTTGGGATGAATACGAACTTGAAATCAATAAATAAATCCTCACAAACTCCCAGAATGGATATGTATGTATATGCTTTTTTCCATTTACCGTAACAGGTGCAATTTTATGTAAATTAAACCTCCCTCTTTTTCAATAATTCACCTGAAACAACAACAAGTAAAAGTGTTAATCTGTGTCTCTATTGCCAAGGAGAATATGTTCTTCATTTCTGTCGATAAAAACACTTGATCTGAAAACTGTTCTCTCCCGTGTCTCTTGTTATAAAAAAAAAACTATGATGCCCTCTTCCTACCGTCTCTCATGATAGTCAGAGTAGTAATACTGGTTCTTGTTATTACCTTGTCTACAAGTTCTTCACAGAGTGTACTGACAATAGTAGTCATAGTAGTTGGCATGTCTATTGAAGGAATGTTTATAACAATAAATCAGACGAGAAAAAAAAAGTGAAGAAAAAACTTATTCTGATTTTTTGGTTATAGTGGTGGTGGTGGTGATGGATAGTGTGCGTGAATTAGACTACATGCCCTCCAGAATCAAACACTTGGGAATCATGTACAAACAAACAACCATTCCCATATGATTTGAGCCCAAGACAGGATGAATTATGCTATACATACGTATATACACCGGACACACATGCAAGAAAACACATACAGAGAGATAGAAAGAGGAAGAGAGGTAAGCAAGGCCAGTGATACAAGTTTACACTCCATCTTAATCGATGCACATATTTTTTTGTCGTCTATCACGCATATTCCGATATTAGTTGCTAAGTCACTTGTTCATCTAAATGATAGCTATATCAATGCATTTATATAATGAAAAAGTAAGGTTCAACACGTACACACCTATACGTTCTGTGATCTACACTCATTCCCCGATATTGGAAACAGGAGACGGAGTTGGAATTATGTAGCTAAGACACAAATGTGCGTAAATCAACCATCCAAACACACACATACACACATGATCTTAGAACCAATTGATCATTCAGTCTCAATAATGTTTCATTACCTTCAATATTCACCAAGTTGACATTATTTTTTATGCTATGGGATTTCGAATTACTCATTATGTGGATACTAGTAGCGCAAAAATGCAAAAACAAAAAAGGGGAGCTGATAACAAAAAGACCCATCAACAACGCCTTCTAAATGAATCAATTTTATGGTGCACGGAATTAACAGACTAATAAACCATATTACCATTATTGTTGTCAAGCTTCTAATGAATACCATGACAACCGTTTTACTCCTTTTTGATCAAAGCTAATTGGAAAACGTAATTCGCATGTTTGTTTGTAACATCAAACCTGAATTTCCAAATCGTAAACTTTATACTATTAATTTTCATACTGATTTCTAAGACGATGAGCAAATCAGTATGTCTGATCACTAGAGCATAATTTGTATGGAATGTCTGAAGAAAGCCATGGCCTCGAAATGAATAGCAATGAAGATTACACATCAAGATAGGTAGTTAGCTTTCCGTTAGTTACCTCAAGTTTTATATTGATCTTGGTGACTATTAGATGAATCTAGGACGCACGTTCCGTCCTGTTTGAAACTCGTCTGCAGGATATACCTGCACCCCAGTGAGTGATGTTTTTCCTCACCAAAGCTCGAACGCAGTACCTTAAGCTTCAAACGCCGAATGCGTTACTGACTAAGCCACTGAGGCACGATAGCCACCTTCTGTGCAACGGGAGTCAGTTCTTGTAATGATACTTGTAATTTCCCGTTGCTATACAGGGCCGATGTGCTCGACCTCTGTACGAAATGCTCGTCCTAGATTCCTTTGCTACTCACCAAGATCAATATAACATCTTGAATATCCGGCAGTATCGAGGCATCCTCAAAGAAGGCCATCTGCCAACGGAGCTCAAGAAGTTTGGCCCTGTATAGCAAGGGAAAATTACAAGTATCATTATAACTACCTTAAGTTTTCGTGAAAAGATGGAGGTATCCGGCTATGCAGCATCAATTTAAATTATCAAAAGGTGGAGGAAGTAAGAAAAGCGAAAGTTACTGAATCTAAGAGGGGTGTAATCAAATGATCAACATCTTCTTACTCTGAATAACAAAATTATATAAACCTGAGTTTAGAGAGCTGTAGAAATTAGTTTCTTTACACTCATGATACCTTTTAGAAGATCTGTGGATGCATCTCCAAGGAAAGGCACTTGACATAAGTACATCCATCGAAAATTAGCATTCTATCATGCTGTCAGTAGTCAGGTTGCTTACTTAATCAAATAATGATTAAGCTAAGCCTCCCTGTCTTTTACCGAACCAGGATTTTCCAGTTAAGCTTACTTAATTGTCCCACCAAGGTTGGTTTCTTGTAGATTAATTATGTTTCATCTTTACCGTCTATTTATTAAACTGATTGATATCCTTTGTACTTTGCTATAACATGTACAATAGTGTCAAAAAGGCTACTATACATTACAGTCACTATGAAATTCTTCAAAATGGTATATTTGAGACTCAGTGAAAAATGATTGGCAGAAACGGTTCTCAATGGGTATCCAATAATATCAATAAATTTCACATAAACATGATAGTCAGATACTTAACTGCAAATAAAATTCATTATTTCCCAAACTGAATTAGTTACACATACCGAGACAATATTAAACTTAGCAAAATAAGTCTATTTAGATAGTTCTTATGTAATAGCTTGTGACCGACCAACTGAGTCCAGCTAACAACGGGGCTTCACAAGCTATACTAAAAAAAGTAAACCGGTTGCACAAGGAGTAGCTGTCATGATTCACTGATCTAGTTGATGACAGTCTGTGGTTTGAAACGATTGGTTCTGGCCTCTGGTCTTAGTTGGGACAAAACCATTCACTTGGAGGCAGGTAAATCCAGCTGACCAGCCCCAAATAGGATGAAATGCGCATCTTCATTTCAGCTTAGGTAGTTATTAGATTAGATAAGAATTGATTGTGATTGCACAACGGAAAAAAGTACATTAAAGCTTTTTGAACGAGTTGCTTGAAAGTATTGTAGCATATCAGTAATTTCATCAGAAATGTCTCAAACGATGTCAACCGGTGTTGAATTGCTCAATTCTATGATAAAACTGCAGAGACAGTTTATCCAGGAGTGAAAAGTAACGCGTCAGCCAACGATTATTTAAACTGAAATAAACAAGTGACTTAACCAACTTGTGTACACTTTTCTTCTGCCTGAGTGACAAAGATCACTGGAGGAAATAATCTAAGAATGCTTCAATTTGAGTACCAGAACATTACCAGCTTTTCTTCCTTAACTTATGCAAATATTTCAGTGTTGATGATATTTAACAATATAACTTGAAACTTGGTTTCGTATTTGTTTGTCGTCATCAGTGTACCGTATTCTTAAGGTCAGCAACCGTTCATCACCTGATACAGCCAAGACACTCAGCTTAGCACAAGCATTACAAGCATGATGGATAGAATGCGATCAGTGCATAAGATTAAGCAAAGCATGACGTTAGCTTTAATCAGATAACCTCTAAATGAATCTACCTCGAATAGTTATAAACTCCACCAACCTGTAACCTAATTATCAAGCTTGACAACAGTACCACACCATCGAAATGCACGTGACTGTAGAGTCCTTTTCAGAGTGGTGATATAATTCCCTGGAATAGCTGACTATCACTGAATATTATGGATAGGAAAGATGGGAGCTTTACAGTCAACCAAACTATCTTGATTTTAATGAGATATACTTCGATCAATAACATTTCGGATAAAAATTATCATTATTATTATTATTTGTCCCTTGGGTTCCGAGTGCGACATACCGCTTCAGTAGCACGTCTCCATTCCACTCTGTTCTCTGCAATCTTTCGAACCTGGCTCCACGACAGCCCACAAGCTCTCATTTCTTCCTCACACCATCTCCTCCATGTCACTCTCAGACGCCCAACTCGTCGTTTCCCCTTTGGGTTCCACTCGAGAGCCTGGTACGTAATGTCCCCGAATGCGGATAAAAATTATTGAAGTGAAAGTAAGATGTAGTTAGTTCTCGGCTCTCGTAGCTCAGTTCATAGAACACCATGCCGGTAACCAGGTTCAAATCCGATGGCGGCTCAGATTTTCATTTCATCTTCAGTTATCCCCCCCCCATATCAAAAACTTCTCTGTATTCTATATTCAACAGTTCAGTTTCCTAGGGGGACTGAATTGGCAAGGTGTTCAGTAAACAATGCAAAACTTATATATAAAGTCTGGTGAAATCCACTTATTTGTTTTCTTCACAATTCACCTTTATGTGCATGTTTTCTTGGTATATGATAGACATCTTTGATACTGCAAAATTAGATCGCTTGTTCATATAGAATTTTAATAGTGAACTCGGGATTTTTGTATAGACAGTTTAATTTCAGAGGTCATCAAATGTTTACTGATTTATTGACACGTGAAATGACAGATAAAATAGGCTAGCAACAGAGAGAGAGAGAGAAGAAAAACGACAAAAAGATCAGACTAAACAATACGACTTTCAGCTCTATTTTGTAATTTCCTTTGTAATTATGAATATTATTATTGTTATTATTATTATCATCATGAGGAAGTGAAGTCATAAATATTCAGCAGGCTGTTTTAGTAATTAAAATAAATCGCCTCATTCCTGCGAAGTAATCCCTTTCATCATTATGGCAGATAGTGATTATGAGGTTTTTGCATTGTACATTTAACATCAGTGGGAGAAACCTAAAGGAAGTAGCCTCTTTCAACTATCTACCTACATAGACAGCATCGTCTCAACTACAGGCGGCACAAACACAGATGAGGACGTCAAAGCCAGCCAGCATCAGAGACACAGCAAGACAAGCAGGCCTTCCTTCATTAACCTGAAATAATCAGTGTGCAGATCTACTGCACTCCACTGCACTCCACTCCACTCCACTCCACTACACTACACTACACTCAGCATAAAGCGTGAACAACATCCGGATTCTCAACACTAATTGAGTCAAGCAAATCAGTGCTTCTGTATGATGGCTGAGAGACTTGGTGTGTTACGAAAAGCATTTCTAACAAGCTGCAGACATACATCATACATGATCAACAGCTGCCACCTACACTCACTTGATACTGAAGATGGAGTTGAGATGAATAGTGTTCTTGCGTCTTTCTGGACAGGACTAGTGACAAATGACCAATATACTCCACTCAGAACGTGCAGATGAGTTTATATATACACGAAGAGAGGTGGCCAAATATGAGATCTTTTCTGTCAGGCTTTTGCTAAGTAAAGAGTGACTATAGAACACTACTGTGAGGGATGTTGCAGATATAAATCTACTTAATTATCTGAGCCGCTTAGGCTTCAGTTTCTAAGTTTTAATTAATCCACAATAACTATGACTTATTCTGTCCCATCGGGAACTTCGATGTAAGTTTACAGTCATGACTTCCAGGCTGACATCAAGACATTTACAATTCAATTTCCGTTTAGTTTGCTTGATTCCTATGACCGTCAGTGATTCAGAAACTAATGAGGCATTTTAGTACAGCACAGAAATTTGTGATTTGAATTAATTCTAGGTTTTAGTTTAGTGTAACTTGACACTATTTTTTCTATGATTTTCTCCATATTATTTAGGTGAAAGTTTGGTTTCAGAATAGACGAATGAAGTTCAAGCGTATGAGAAGTAAGTATATTGACATCGAATTATTTTCACTCATCTACGGGATATGAAGGGTTTCAAAATCTGTTTTCATTATAAATTATGAACTGATAGTTATTCCCCACTTGTAAATTCACCAATATGATATTATCAGACTTATAGTTTGAGGATAGAAGGCCATGAGCCTTGATCTCTGTGCTTGTCCACTCAATTGTTAACGTGGACATCACTTCTCTTGACAGTCAGTTTCAGGACTTAGTCTACACAAGAACCCGTACTCTGCTTAGATTACTTTCATCCTTTGTTTTTGTTTTCCTATACTATATCCCCTGAGATGTTCCAACCTAGTGGGAAGGAAAAGAGACGATAGATCAGGTCTAAAATCACTTCTTAAAATCCTGTGTAGTATGATTAAATCTCTTCTTTATCTGCAATAGGATAAAGTGAAGAGGTTCAGTCCCTTAAGTCGTTCCTTGTAGGTCTGGCTATCCATGGCGAAGATCATGTGAGTGACACCTTTACGAAAAATGTAGTCTTCAGTTTTGAAAGTTGTGGTATTTTATCCTTAGAATCAATTATCAACGTTCAGTGAAACAATCCACCTATTGGTATCATCTTTTTATCCAGCTATTCTACCTGTAAAGGACTTCGAATGATTCATATGAGGAAGTGGTTCTTAAACAAAGTGATTCCACATGCATAACTTTCAACTTCCATTTGGCCATCGTCTGCAGTGCAGTTTCACAAAAAAGAAAAGCTGTTCTGACCTACTTTATCTGTCTGAACACCTGTTTACATTGTTATACCATTCTCAATATTCCTGTTATCCCTTATACTACCAATATTTTCATCATTCTAAAGTACCCAATCCACATTCCTGATATCACTCACTCGCAAACCACTTTGATCGGTTCATATTTTATAGATGCTGAGTGATGACTTATGGTGAAATGAAAATTTGGGCCGCAACTGGATTAGAACCGGGCACCATCAGATTTCCTGCCAGGTGCTCTACGGGGTTCAACTACTGACCGGATTTTTATTTCACTGCAACCAATCACCAAGGATTTTGCCCAACTACTATGTGAACTCGTGACGCGTTACTACCGCTTGATATTATTCACGCTGGTTTGAATCCGGCCATGGTCAAAATTTTTATTTCACCTTCAATCATCATCCAGTATAAATACTAATTTGACAAACTACGGCTATCGTGGATAGTCAAAATGATAATCATACTTTATACATCCGCTGAAAACGATGTTTATTAGATTGAAGTCTGAAGAAATCTCATACTAGGACGAAAAAACTGTCCAATTCTTCAAATGATATCAGTCAGTGGCGAATACTGCCTAGGAATAAATAAAATCCTTATGAACCAGCAAATACATTACTGTCTAGTGTTCATTAGTGACACTTTTCGAGATGGGTATCCCATTGTTCTGACGAGAAGTCGTAACCTGTGCCGTCAGGCAGCTAGAAGTAAAGCAGATGCCAACGGAAGACACTAGTGGTTATTTACGCTATATCACTAATTGAGAGAACTAGAAAAAGTGTGAACAAATGCTTTCCAACCCAGTAACCGAATGGTAGCATGCTTTCCATGAAACTTGAAGATTCTGAGTTCTGTCCGTTATGGGATCCTGGGTGCATGCTTGTGAGAACTCTTGTACTAAGGCGAATCAGCTGTTCCATGCTCCGAAATTATCAATGTTTCTCCAGCTGATGTCAGATCATGATGAATTCTACCCAAAATAAATAAACTTCCCATAAACCTCAAATGAAAGCTGTTGTTAAGATCTTCAGAATGCGAATTTTTAAATATGTTTTGAGATGGATGGGGATTTTAATTTAGAGGTAGTATTCATCATGAACTGATATCAGTTGGGAAACCATTGAAAACCTGGAAGCGCAGGACAGCTGTTTCGTCTTAGTGTGGGACTCAGCAGTATGCACCTATGACCCGGCTAGGGATCAAACTGAGGATCTACATCTCAAAAATTCACTGTTGTGTAGTACTCATTGATGACATGCTTCCAGATGGATGACAAAAAGTTCTAATGAGAAGCGGTGACCTATGGGGTCAACCACTCAGATGGGAATTAGATGTCAACTGAAGACCACGTTATGTCATGAACTGACAGAAGTTGGAAACTGTGAACCACTGAAAACTGACCCAGTGAGTGAATGTTCAGTGCTTTCAGCGTAAAACCTGAAGGTCCTGAGTCCGATCCCTAAACGGGTTGTGGGTGCGCACTGCTGAGGAGTCCCATACTAGGACGAAACAGCTATCCAGTGCTCCCAGGTTTCCAATGGTTCCCCAACTGATGTCAATCTGTGATGAATACTACCTCTATATTTTGAGTTATTTAGTCCTATGAAGTATATTCATTTTACAATGGATTTTAACAAAATATGCACAAATTTGTTTTATTTAATAAATAATTAGGTAACAGTGTTTCAAAGGATGATTCTTATTCAATCCAAGTGCCATACGATGATCTGTGCTCAAGTATGCAAGGTCTTTGTTGAAATTAAGCCGAGAAAACAGCGAAGAGAATGAATTATTCTTGTACCGATATTAGAAAAAGACACAAGGGCATATGATGAAATTTTATATTCACTTGGTTTTCGCACACTTTCTCTCTCCCTTTTAACTTCATTTTGTTCCATTTTGCTCTTATTTCACTCCATTTCTCTATCCTTCTCCCTTATCAGTAAAAACCAATGTGTGTTTACAAAGTCTGTGCATATATTTATCATTTGTAATTACTTACTATAAGATTTTCAATGGCTTATCAACTGACTTGTAAAATATATTTTTTTTGGCCTCGATATACAGTGTCAATTTTGAACCACCCTCATAAATGATTTCATGTCTGCGCATAGAATAAGTCGAAGTCTTCAAACCAGAGCTGTCCATAATAATTAATTTACCAGTTTACTTGATACTCCCTTAGATGTATTTGTAGTTTACTAGTAAGCTTACCGATTATGTATATAGTGAATGAAGCTGATAGACTTGTACACCAACCAGCAAATAGTTCTTCAGTTGCTTTCATCATGTGAACTGGGTAGACTTAAGGTAGTAGATGAAGAAAATTATAAGTCATGACCAGTGAGGCAGATTAAGTTCAATTCAGTTGAAAATAATACTGAGACCATCGTACTTTATGCCAACATGCCAGGATGAACGAACTGATTTAGTATAATTTCTTGTATTATACCATCGTTGACTGGACTGAATTGATCAGTCTCTGTTGGCATATGGGCTGCTGTGCAGATACCTCGATATAACCTATATTCTAATTATAGTACAGATGGATAGTGGCTAGCAGTGGAATCCAGGACTCTCATTTTGTCCTATTTGAAACTCTTAAGCTGGACATAATTGTACCCAAGTGAGTGATATTGTTTCCACTGATTGTTGAAAATGAATCGCATTTCAAAAGAAGACATACCAGTTCTATGAATGACTAGCGTACACCAAGAAGTATAATAACAACGGCGATGACAGTGAACATAGAGATGTTCAGTAAGTATTGTGCGTGAAATGAGTTAACGTTTCATATGATCATTTTGAAGGTAAACATCAACTGACCGTAAATCATCATTTCATTTATGTGATTAGTAGTAGATTCATTTTGGAAGTTTGTGGGGACTGGTTGATTTCAAGTTGGTGTTCATTACGGACTAACATGAGTTGGAGAACTTGAGGGCACTAGACAACTGTATCTTTCTGGTATTGAACTCTTCAGCAGTGGATACTCATAACCCAATCAGGTATCCAACCCATAATCCTCAGTTTCCGTGGCGAGCATCTCACCAATGAGTCAATGAATCGGAACTGCATGGTTCATATTTTCCCATTTCTGTCAATTCACAATGTAACATGAGAAATTCATCCTCACATTCGACTTGGTTTGGGCTATTGGTGGCAACTTCTTATTAGAACTTCGGAGTATGCATTTCGAAGGATGTTACTGATGAGCGCTAGAAAGCAATTTAATTTTGAAGTTTGTGAAGACCTTTGAATTCCGACCTACTGTCTGAGTAGCAACGCACTCGGTGCGGAGTCTGAAGGTCTTGGGACCGTTCTGTAGTGGAGTCGTGGTTATACACTCCTGAGGAGTCCCGTACTAGGACGATACAACTTGACAGTACTCCTAGGTTCTCCCAAATGCATCTCCAACAGATGTCAGTCTGTAGTGAATACCAACTTGTGGTTACTAAATTCCTAGCACGTAGTACAACGTTATTTCGCCTTTACAGAACATTTTCAAAATATAATATAATGGATGTTCTAGGAATGAATAAGCTAATTTATACGGGCACTTACATACAAGGGACAGCAGTGGTAGAATCAATAATCATTAGCAATTGTAAACCTGATGAATTAATCCCATATTATGAAAACATAATCTTCTTATCTGACTTCTGAGAATATACAAGTAGAAAATGATGGATAAAGTTATCCTAAATATTCCACAAAACGTTCAACCACAACCATCTCCATCAGTAAGTTTGAAAATACACTACCAATTCAGTTGACAATAAGATATATCAATGAATTCAGAGCTCATACACTTTCTATTCGACAAGAATCACCATGTTTAGCCAAAGCCGTATCTAAAATTATCACTTGTAGTTACGAATAACGTATTGAAAAAACTTAAACCCTAGGAGGAAAATCCCACATCTTGCGTCTTAAGATGCAATTTTCCAAATACTTAGACTGAAGTATCCGCGTAGGAGCCCATTTGCCAATTGAGGCCGAACAATTCGTCCAATAAAAACAAGTATATTAATGAATAGTAATAACTACTACCCATTGTACAAGAAATGGTTATCGTTCCGTCTGGGCATAGTCGATAACGCGTCGGCGTTTGAAGCGACGGGTACGAGGTTCAAGTTTCAGTGGGGACAACATCACTCACTAGGGTGCAGTTACATCTATCTGACGAATTCCAAATAGGACGAAACGTACGTCCTGGATTCTTCTGCTAGCCACAACCAACCAAATTATCATAATTAACATTCAGGCAATATCGAAGCATTCTTGTAGGAGCCCATAGGCCAATATGGGTCGAAAAATTCGATCCAACACAACAAACAAGGGAGAATAACAAGTACACTAATAAACAGTTATATCCAATCTTTGTTGGTATTTCGGGTACAAAAGTTATACGATGTATACTAATTTACAAGCAAGCCAAAATTCCAGCATTTAGAAGTATTCCACCCCTGTAGGCTGAATCAGCCAGCACACACCGCTGTTAATGTCGATTAAGCAGGTCAGAAATGATCAACCGATATTTTGATCACATGGATTTGGTGAAATAGTACCATTAAGTGGTACAACTCTACAAGTCGGTTAATGGCATACCTAGTGTTTTTACTGATATCATTTTGACTATATGAGATAGCTGTGGTTTGGCAGACTTGTATTGATACTGGGTGATGATTCAAGGTGCAATGAAAATCTGGACCGTAGCCGGATTCGAATCAGCGACCACTGGGTTTCCTTCCCAATGCTCTACCAACTGACTTACGAGGCCCGAAATTTGAACCGCGTCGGGATAGGTAATCAGAATGTTGAATAGAGAGAGGTAAATTAATTGTGAGGATTCAAAACTGAAATTTACTGCGATGGTTACTTCAACTTAAAAGCAGGAAGTGTTCAGATGATACAGTGTACAACACAAAACCTCTTTAAGGTAGAAAAAATGAGGAGAACCATATATGATTTCTATGCCATATGATATAGAATTGATAAATACTCATGTATCTTGATGTGGTAACGTGATTAAATACTTCACAGAATTCGAAAGAAAATGTTTATAAACATAAAACATTGAACAATGATTCATCTGAAGACAGAACTGTCATCAGTCACAGAACCATTGAAGGTCTGAAAGTGCTGGAAAATTGACTCATTCATCAGTAATATACCATTCGTCCTCAAAAGAAGTTGAATGTAGCTGCTAAATCACTCACGGAGAGATATTGAGAGTTTACTTCATACTGAAGTTAGTACTGATGATGTAGTCTACACAGAGTTCGCCAGCTCCACGACTAAACAACCCAGCTCAAACAACACAATACAACCAGAAAGTTGAATGTAATGACATCACTTCTTAAACTACATCAGTGTTTAGTGTTCTACTACAGTAAGATACTTCGTGATGGATATCCGGAGGTTCTAAGGAGAAATCGCTACGTGTGAGACCATCAACCCTGAGTGCCCTGACTTCCATTTGCGTTAAGGTCATGAATGCGTAATCGAAGATGTGGTAGATGTCTAGTACATTCACCCTACTTTTTTATAATAAAGCACTCAGTACTTTCAGTTTTTAATCAATAACACTTTTATACCAAACCACTTGGGAATCAGTTTCATAACTTGTTTCTAATGAGAACTAAAGTATGATCCATCCTGGTACTTTGTACTTTGAAGATGTTTCTTATCAAGGGATATGAAGCGCAGAAATGAGAAGCACCTAAGGTCTTTTTCCCTCCAGAGAGATTATGAAGTTAGTCAAGCAGAAACCAAAGTACTATAACACACAAATATAGTAGACAATTCATTCGACACTTCTCGTAAGTAAAAACCAGATATTCACGTAGATTCTACATCATCTAAGTGATCAATTAAAGTTATGAAGAATTCAATCACAATTTCATTCAAGTTTGCGACTTTTTACTGGGATATAATCACAATCCAACCTCAGAGGTAATAGATCAGAGTTAGTATACATCATGGACTGACATCGCTTGTGGAACAGCCATCTCGTCCTAGTATGGGGCTCGTCAGTGGTACCAACCCATGACTTTACCCGCAAGGGATCAAACACAGCACGTTAACATTCAGCCCATGGGCCGGAATCCAGTCATTTACATTTCCTACTTCTATCAGTTCACGATAAAGCGAGACTTACATCCAATGCTACCGTTGAGTAACTGTTCTCATGTTCGACTTGGTTGACCCCAACAGCCACAATTTCTCAATGAAACTTCAGGAATCATCTCTGGAAGCTAGTCACCAATGAGCACTAGATGAATTCAGTTTGGGAGCTTGTAAGGACTAATTGATTTCAAGTTGGTATTTATCATGGACTGACATCCTTGGTGGCGTCATGGGTGCGCACTGCTGAGGAGTTTCACATCATGACGAAACACCTGTTCAGTGCTCTCAGGTTTCCAATGTTACTCAAACTGATATCAGTCCATGATGAATACCAACCTGAAATCAATAAATCCCCACAAACCCCCAAATTGTAACAGATTATAGCTAAAATTATTATGTACAAGCCATCTGTTTACTATGAGGTTTTAGTCCGTTACTCATTGACTGAAAATGCAGTAAAACTATCTAAACTGACTGACTCATAAGGTTGAGTGCATTGATTCACTATACATGAATGATAAACATCCCTTAACTGAAAATACCAAAGATTGAACACAAAATAGGATGAAGCCTGGATAACGAATAGTTGATCAACAAACGGTTAAACATAAAGCTTACTGAAAAGTTATCAGTCGGCAATT